AGACACGCAGATTAGAACGATCTCCCTTGAGAAGGAAATTAAGTGTGGGGGGGAACATCCTTAGATAAGCTGGGTCTGTCTGCTCAGTACCAGCATGAGCAAGCCAATGAGCAGGCTTGTTTCCTTCTCTATGAATAAATAGAAATTTCAGATTGATACCTTGGGAGCTAAAGTAAATTCTATTCTTCCATTTCAGAATGTGTCAGGGGCAGATAATGGTATTAAGGAGTATGCTAGTCATGACCTTGGAATCAGTCTTCATAATAAGATTATGAAATTTGGCTTTGGTTGCAATATAGATGGCCCAAAAGATGGTTAAAGCCTTAGCTTCCAGAGCATCAGCAGTAACAACAGGAGACAGGAAATGAAGGAGACAAGCACCATTCAAATTCCTGAACACACCACCAATGCCAGCAGTGGACCTATAAAAACTGCCTTCTCTGTTAGCTTTCAGCCAACCAGCAGGAGGTTTGAGCCAATACACTAGGGGGTGCTCTAAAATAGGTTTACTAGCCAAAGAGTTGGTCATAAAAAGATCAAGAAAAGTCTTCCAATGAGTAATTTTTTTCAGAAAGGCTAAATAGTTAGCAGCCACCTTTGAGGGATGGGGTAGGCGTTCCTCAAATTTGGCCTTGTTTCTAGCCATCCAAGTGAACCAAGCCACCACAAAAGGAATCAACAAAAGTTTTAATTGAAGCCATTCTTTCCAGCAAGAGATGAATTTCTGTCAGGTGAGACTGAGGGTTTGCACTTTCAAATATCTAAGGAAAATTAACCAGATTTGTTGGACAAACTGACATTGATAAAAAAGGTGATCAGTGGTTTCCTCATGCCTTTTACATAGAATACAACAAGAAGGGCCTCTCAATCCCTTCAATTTCATAATATCATCAGTGGGATGCATTTAGAGAAGATTCTCCAACAGCAGAATGACATAGAGGGGGAGAAAAAATTATTCCAAATAGAATTCCAAATAGGTTTTTCCCAGAGATAGCTCTCCTCTTGTGGTTGCAGTAATAGACTGGGAAACCCCTTGCTTGGGAATAAGTTTATCTTTCTTTGATGTATCTACAGGGATGTTGTTAATCCTGTGAATGGTAGAGTTATCCAAAATATTGTTTAAAGTAGTAAGATTCCACTGATTATCATTCCAGCAATCTAAAACTTTGGTAGAAGTTGGAAAGGGAACAGCAATCTTGTCAGCAGCAAGCTTCCCATCCCCCATCCAGTTATCAAGCCAAAAGTTTAGATTCCCCTCTCTAGAATGACATAAAGGCAAGTATATATATATGGGATCTTGGAGAGGGGAATCCCATATATATATATACTTGCCTTTATAGGTGCAAGTATTGTAGAGGTTCACACCATGGATTGATTAATCTAAAATCTCCGATTGATAAGATCATTGTACAAAGATGATGGGAAATTTTGTGCTACACTACCGCTGCAGTTGTTGTACCAGTGGTGAAGGAATTCTATGCCAACTTACATGGAATTACCCAACGAGTAGTCTTCGTACGAGGTAAGGTTGTACCATTTACTCCGGTGTGAATTAATGAGTTGTCTATGATAGAAAACATCTGTCATTATACAAATTTCACTCGTACGTTAGATTTGATGCAAGATGTTTATAATTTTATGATGGATGAAAGTGATATGTGGGAAGTACGAGATGACAGACATATTAGTTATCCAGCTTCATCACTTAATCCAATTTTGAAGTTGTGGCATTTCTTTATTTGTGCAAAATTACTCCTTAATATGAAGATTAGTAGAGTCACCAAAGAAAGTGCTATTTTAAATTATTACAATCAAATGGAAAAACCCATTGATGTATGATATATCATTTTTAAATCTATTATGAGTATTATTATGAATGGGCCAATTTATGGACTTGAGCATCCTTCAACAATTTTCCTACTTTGCAGTCAATCTCAAGTTTCATATGAAATTTGGGAAAAAGTTTTATTACCTTGGGAGCCTATGATTCCTATTGATGATAATTATGTTGGGAATGGGGATGAAGCATTAGATACTATCTTGGATCATTCGTCACATGCTTCAACTCTATTGATGCCACCAATAGTTAGAAGTTCCCTTTCTTTAGAAAAGAAATTGAAGAAAATTGAAAGAGAACTTTAGAGTATTACAAATCCAATAGAAGATCTTAAGTACCTTTTTCATCACCTAGATTGAAGGATAAAAGAGAATTTTGATCATACTAGAACAATTGAAGCAAGATTGGTTCGGATGTTCAAGGAAAAATGATGGATAAAAAAAAATTCGGCTGATCAATTTTCGTACTGACCCTTCTACAATCTGTACGTTCATTACCAGTCTATGAGAGATATTAGACGTGGAGAAAGCACTGAAGAAGAGGTAGAATAATTGAAGAATTTGGACTCTGTACTAGTTTAAAATGCTTATGTATTTAATGTTATTTTGTGGATTTGATTTAGTTTGCTTTACTTTAGAATTATGAACTTTTATTGTGTGTATAGTTTTGTGTCAGCGTTTAGTGTTGTGGCTTGATTTTGACACTGATTTATAATTTAGTTTGCTATATGAGTGTAAAATTGTGATTAGAAGAATGTATTTGTAAAAATTGTATTTTCATATACAAAAGTTAGTTTGTTATTGTTTTTGAAAATTATTGTTCGTGAAAATGTTTGTTTGTGAATTATTGTTAGATAAAAATTTATTTTCAAAAATACTAAAAAGACTTTGGAGTAAATTGAAAGAAAATTAAAAATTTCAAATTTTTGAAATTGGAATTTTTAACCTTCAGTGCCGACGGTGCCCTCGACCCGAGAATAGCCTAAAACCCTTAAAATTTCTGATTTGCACAGTAAAACACCATTTTTTCCCTTTGATTCACCTTCAACCTTCGATTTTTGCACTTAGAGCTCACATTTGCTTAGATTTGACATGACTTTAAGGCAAAGGAACTTTTGATTTCATCTTCTCTAGGTAAGAGCTACACTTTAAACTAAAAATTTTAGATTTTCACCAAGGATATATCTCATATTGTCGAGATCCGAAAATTTTGGAATTTTTTAAGAGATTTTGAAAAAATCCTTTCGTGAAGAACTCTTACTTAGTAGATTTAAGTTTAAAGCATTTTACATTGTGATTTTCATATTTTTGGGAATTTATTTGGATTTTTATCAAATTTTCTTAGATTCACCATGGCCCCGAGAACGAGCAAGGAAAAAATAAAAGTAGATTATGATGAACAAAAATTTGTCAATTTTAGGGCTAGTGCTCGATTTAATAGTCTACTTGAAAATAAAAAAGTAATTCAAGATCGTGGATTTAAGTCGAGCGATTAATCAATGTTAGGCAGTGGGAAATCTTCTGTTACTTTACTGTCGAAGCTATTATTGGTGTAATGATGAAGTTCTACGCCAATTTTACACAGGCTTCTAATGATTTTGTTTTTGTTTCTGGGAAAATGGTGAAGTTTTCTCCAAGTAAGATTAATAAATTTTAATAGTTAAAAGATGTGTGCAGTTTCTAATATAAATCATTTTCTACTACAAATGAGGCCTTGAATGATGTTATTTCTTTTCTTACTGATGGAAGAGGAACCTCAAAAGTGAAAAATGGAGTTAAGGTAAATTTTCCTCTTTCTATGTTATATTTAGTATCTCAGGCCTGGCACTACTTTATTTTTAGAAGAATGATACTGACAAATCATCATAGTGAAGTTACAAATGATAGAGCCATTCTGAACTACTGTATCTAGCACGTGATGAGGATAAATGTAAGCTTAATTTAGGCTCTATCATTTATGTAAACACTAGATCTATTGGTTTGGGAGAGACCACTGCTGGATTAGCACACCCTGCCCTGAACTTCACACTCCATGAACAACAGGAGTTGATTTTAGACCTGAAGAAGAGAGGATTGAGCCTCTAAAACCTATTGGGCTTGCCAATATAAAGACATATTAATCTCATGTTGGATGGAGGTCTGAAAGTAAGACCAAAGATATTCCTTCTACTTTGAGGACCTCTACTTCTATTGACCCTATTATTTGAGAACTATTGGACCAGATGATGATCCAATAGGGAGATATCTTGAGAATGGATCATAGAATAGAAAACATGGAGGCCAGAAATGCTCTCATTGATGATTTGATTAGACAAAATTTCAAATATGATTCTGCCTATGATGATGTTATGGTCAGATATGTGAAGGGTGACCATTCAGTTCAGTTTCTTACTCACCCTATCTTTACTCCATATCAGCAACAGAATTTGAATGTGGAAGAATAAGAAGAAGAAGGCAATGATTGGTGATTTGAAGTTTGCTCTTTCTTTTAGTTTATGTTTGATTATACTTTGTTAAATTATTGTTTGTTATTGTTATATTATTGAGACTGTTTGTTGTTAGATTGTGA